TACTTATTTCTGTCCTGATTCCCTTTACACATGAGTCATCCTATCTCCTTTATTAAGAGGGGATAGATGACCCTAAGGTGCTGTTCGCTGAAGGCCAGTCGGGATGACAACTGGCACCTCAAGCAGGATTCTGGCAAGCAGCTCTGTCCCCCTTTAGAGGATGCCTCGAACTGGGAAGAGCTCGTGGCTTGCCTTGGGGGTCCTCAGAGGAGCAAAGGCTGGGAAAGGGAAAATGTGTTTCCCTCCCACCTCTCCCATCACACCTCCTCTGGAGGGTGCTGGGCTCCGCTGCTGAGACCTGGGTCTGCAAGAGGGCCGGTTCCCTGGCTCTCCCGAGCGGAACCGCAGCCGCCTCTTGTGCGCACGCTGTGTGTGCAGCTGTGCCACGCACCATCTCCTCTGCACAAGCCTGCACGGCTCCCGTCTGCCCCACGCTCCCGTTCCATGGCGTGTGCTGTGTCTGTGTGTGTTTCCCTTGCTGTCCCTTCCTCCCTCTGTTTCTCGCGCATACACGCGCACGCTCTGGCAGCTCTGCATCATGTATCTCTGTGCAAGACTGCCTGTCCCTGCTCTTTTCTCCTACCTCCTTGCATTTTTTTTGTCCTGTTGTCTGGCACGAACACACGCATGCTCACATGGCTTTCTCCCTGCAGCGTTTCCCAGGTTGTCTCCTTTCTAGGCCTCGTAGCAGAGAGTGCTGCTGTGCCCACTCCATATGTTGGCACTTTAATGCTAACAACAATTGTTGATAGAAGCCTTCACACGCAACCCTTTCGTAGGGTGATGCTTGGGAGGGCTCAGTCTGTGCCAGCATAACTGGGTTTTTTGTCTCTGCCTCTCCCTCTCTGCAATTTGTTTTTTTGTTGTGGTGGTTTGATTTTGTTTTTGAGGGCAGGGGAAGCTGATAGACAGATTAGTGTTTTGCACCGAGCTGACTTCTTGGGGGTTATTAAAAGTGATTTGTAATGTAAATGCATCAGCCCTGTTTCCTTTAGACTAGAGATGGCTTTTATGAATATTTAAGATGTATGGATGGGTTCACCAGGTTTGTGGGAGAATGTCTTTGGAGGGGAGGGGGACTGGGCACGTGTGATGTGCTCTGGAATCTGGATCTGCCTCAGGGCGAAGGGATCTCTTGCCTGGGGAAGGGAAGCAGAGCATGAAACAGTGAGCGTAAGACAGAAGGAAAATCTGGGTATGTAAGACAGAGACAGACAAAAGGAAAGGAGAGCAAGAATCTGAGCGTATGTGTGAGGCCATCTTCGTGAAAGAGCACAAGAAGTGATGTCTGAGGGAGAGAAAGAAGAAGAGAAGCAGTGCGCATAAAACCTCCGCTCCACTTGCTCTTCTTTCCTCCCTCCCATTGCATTTATCTCCATGTTTCCAGGCAGCCCTGTGCTCCCCGCTCTCTCTGATTCCCTCCCACGTTTCCAGAAGCCCCCTCAAAGCGACACTTTTTTGGCTACCACAGACTCTTCCCGAAATAGCGCAGCTTTGCCCGGGCTGAGCAGGACGGGAGGACGAGACGGGCCGAGCAGCTCTCCCTGTGGGAAGGCGGTGGGCTGCGTGCCAGGGAGTGGGAATGTGGCGGGAGAGGGGGCAGCGCGGGGGCCGCCTGCCGCAGGCTGCTCCGAGGGCCGAGGGGGTGCCGCGCTGGTCGCGGGCGGCGCGCGGCAGCAGGGTGTGCGGCTCCGCGGCCGCGTGCTGAAGGGCCCGGCAGCCGTTGGGTGGTTTCACACGCTGGGGCAGTGAGCGACACTGTTCCCCGCGAGCAGAGCAACGCGGGGGGCGCGGGGCGGCTGGATCGCAGAAAATCCCCCAGCAGCCAAACATGGCGTTAATTAGTGCTCCAGGAACTGGTGCTAATTGCTGCTGAGGCAGATGCCCCCCTGTGCCAGAGTCCCCCACAGCTGCTTGGCCCCGGTGCCTGTCCTGCCTTTTCCTGCTGGCTCAGAGGTGGGAGGAAGGAATTTCTGCTCCATAAATGGGAGGTGACACCCAAACACCCTCCCTGCCTTGCCCAAGGATATGCATGTTAGCCCGGAGTGCCAAAGGAAGCCCGTACACGTCCTGGGAAGGATACATGTAGATTAGTGCCGGGGCACTGGGGTTCGTGCGGGAAGAATGGATGGACATTCGTGTTCCTGCACTGTGCAGATGGGCAAGCTAAGGACTCATAATCATGGTCCTTTACAGCTTAGACTCAGACTTCTCTCCTGAGTAGGAGCGCTCAAAGCTCAGTCGTGTTTGTGACCCATTGGGCCATTCATCTTCTTCAGAGATTGTTTTGGATGGGAGCTGTGCACCAAGAAGGGCCATCAGGGTGACCACTCGTCACTGATCCCTATATCTCCTACCTCCTGCCCTTAGTCTGTGCCAAGACTCATCCCACTGTGAGGCATAACATATCTGGCCAGGGAAAAATTGGGAGCTGGAATCAGATTCTGGAGTCAAATACCATTTTTCCTGGCCGTTCACACACTGCTTAAGAAAGAAGATGATGTCACTTTAAGTAAAAGCAAGTGTCCCATGCACCTCCCTGGCAGTGCCTGAGGAGGGAATGTGTGAAGGCAAGCAACTGCTGTTGCTAATCGGAATATGTATGGAGAGCCTTTTCTTTTGGGAACGCTACCTCTTTTGACTTATGAAGGCGGATAAAGCTAACATATGAGTTAAAAGTTGAGAAGTTCAGAACTTTATATCTGATTTAGTTACACTTGCTTTATATACACCTGACTGATCATCATCGGAAGAAGACTCCTTGCAGGTCATTGCAGTCTTCTGCCTAGCCACGGGGAGCTGTGGCTTTAAACAAGAGTCCAGCACGTTCAAATAGTCTTTGGAGCAGTTATTTCCTCAGTCTGATGAGTCCAGCCAGAGCATGACAAAGTTTTGCTTTCATTATTTTGATGGTGGGGAGAGGAAGAGAGGCTGATATTATTTGAGGTCAGGGCTGTGGGGAGTGGGGGGAGACTCCAATTAACTGACTTGAGGCTTTGGCAGGTTTTGGGCAGTGCCTGTGGAGATGCTGTGGGCAGCAGTTGAGCCGGGGAAAGTCAATGAAGCCTTGCTGTGGTCAGTGCAATTGTGATGCTCTGCACTAGCCCACATGGGGAAAGCTTTGTCTTCACATTTTTCAAAGGATGCAGGAGAGAAAGTGAATACCCAGTTCCTGAGCACCAGTAAATAAATGCCAGGATCTTGCCAAGGGTGAGCAAAATAAGAAATGATGATGCACCTGCCTTGCTGCTGTGGCAGGAGCCGGGGGTGTTTGAAGGGAACAGTCTAAGTGTTCATGCAAATGCCAATAGACTTAACCTTCCCAGGTGCAGAGTGAAGCACTTGGAGCTGCAAATGTGTCATCAGTGGAAATTGCCTGAATTATCATACAATGTTCTCTCTGCTGAGATTCAGAAATGTGTCCTCATCTTCAGAGAGGAAGTCCTAGATTAAAGGATTTGGGGAAAAGACAGGTCAAATCTGTAAGCTGGGCACTTACTTAATGTTCTGTGGATATTTGACATCAGACCCTGACTTTTAGTTAAATGCCACCTCTCAGAGAAAGAAATATAAGAGGGGATAGTGCAGAGATGAATGAGTCGATTGTGAAAACATGTCTGAGGTTGTAATCACTCCAAGAAGGGGGGAAAAAAAACGAGATATTTTTTAATGAGTATTTATATATGTATATGTGAGCACAGCAGCTGCAAAAACTGATACCCACGTGTGTTTATGAGACACAACAAGTAAGAGGCAAAAGCTGGCTGGAAGAGTTGGTCTTTGTAGGAGCAGAACGAAGGGGAAAGGTGTAGAGGGAAGGGAAGAGAGAAGATGCTTTTTTGTACCTAACAATTCATCATAGCTACAATGAAAGGAGAAAGCAGAACCCATGGGGCAAACAGTCAAATGGTGAGAAACTCCCTTTTGATGCTTTTGTTTCTGTTATGAAAAAAAGAAATACAGTATTAGCGACAAGCGGGGGGCGAGTTCTGTCGCCTGAAGTGGGGAAGAGCTGTGAGGGGGGACTGGGCTCCCGCTTTGTCTGCGGGACAGGGAGGGGCGCCGGGGCCCCCGCTGCTGCTCTCGCTGCCCGTGTGAGGGCCCGGGCCTCGCTCCGCGCCGGCCTGCGGGGCAGGAGCTGCTGCCGCC